CATTTCAAAAATTGTTGGTGGATGACTTCATTGTGAAGTTGATGCGATGCTATTTGTTGTTGTTGTTTGCGGTAATGCTATGGTATTTGTTAATGCTATAACAACAACAGCAACAACGGCATCAACAACAACTCGTCTTGGAAGTTATAAATTTCAATTTATTTATAAAAAATGAACAAAGGAAATATAAAAATGTGGAAAAATATAAAGATATATGGACAGATGCGCGTGTTAAAAAGACACTGAAAACAAAAACATCAACAACATCAACAACAACAACATCATCAACAACATCAACAACATCAACAACATCATCAACAACAACAACATCAACAACAACAACAACGCCAACAACAACAACAACAATAACCACAACAAAATATTAACGCTAGGTACATCAATCGCATATAAATGACATCAACAAAAACAACTACAACAACAACAACAATAATAATAACAATAACAATAATAGCAATAATAACATCAATATTTATAATATAGCGTTTGCACTACGGCATTGAATATATCTATCAATAAGGCTTTGCTATGCAAATATTTGACTGAAATATATATAAATAATAATAATAATAAAAAAAATACCAATGATGATGATGATGATGGTGATGATGTTGTTGATGATGGTGATGATGATGTTGATGATGGTGATGATGATGATGTTGATGATGGTGATGATGATGTTGATGATGGTGATGATGATGTTGATGATTATACATACAATACAGACAAATGTACATACAAACAAACATACAGACGTATGTGAATGCATATCTAAAGTTAGATAAATTGTTATAAGTACAGTGAAAAGCATTTGTTTAACAATAATGGGATAATGAGGGTACAGTAAGAGAGAGAAAGAGAAAGAGAAAGAGAGAGAGAATACTATGGAAAAAAGAAGTAAGGGATAAAAAGAGAAAAAAAAGATTAATTTGATACAGGAAACATTAATTAATTTTAATTAATTAATAAAAAAATATACAGTAAAAACAAACGGAAAATGAAATAAAAGCTGAACTGAAAAATCGAGAAAAAAAATCTTACTGGAAGTAAGATTGAATTACATTAAAAGAACATGTCAGTTAAATTAATTTCAGGCATCTCTTGAATAAGCTTTTGTGTTTTATTCTCTGCTTACTTGTTCGGCTCTTTCTTGCCTCCATTTATGCCAAGCAGACGAGGAACGCAAACAAATTGACAAACAACACTACCTACCGAAGAAGCATTCGCTGTGTTTGTGTGTGTTTGTGCGTACGTGTGTGTGTGTGTGTGTGTGTGTGTGTCTGTACATTTGTGCATGTGTGTGTGTGTGGTTTCAAGTGCAGACTACGGTCACTTTGTGCGGAAATTAAACAATTACGTAAATTAAAAGAAATTAACTTAAAGAAAAAACAAAAAATAAAAAAAAAACAAAAAAAATTTGATGATAGATTTGAAAGAACCTAGCAAATTTCTAGCTTGCTTTGTTTTCTTAAATGTCGCAATTATTTAAATAAAATCTTAATTCGATTAAATTATTTAGAATTAAATCATGGAATATTGATTCGTGTTTAATTGAGTTGAAAATATTTTACGCTAAAATTATTAAATTATTAACGTGACAAATTAATATGATTTGAAAGGCAATAAAACTTTATAATAGAAATATATAGGGTATCAGAGGATGAAAAAGCAACAAACACGAAAGATAACTAATTCTCACCATAGAACAGCAAACACCATAGAACAACAAACACACCACAGAAAATGAAGCAACACGAAAAAACTAACAACAAACAAACACCAAAGAACTTACAAACCAAACATACACCAAAGAACTTACAAACGAACACCAAAGAACTTACAAACCAAACAAACAAACATACGCCAAACAAACTAACAACAAAATAAAAATAAAGAACAATTATTCACTTTGCGAACTAATTTATTTATCGCCCACTGCCATAAAATATGCAGCGACCACAAAATCCTACTTGAAATTCGACGAATGTTTGTTTATTTATTCACTAGCATAGAAATTAAACCTGTGGAAAGCCGCTTGCTTTCAAGCATTAAAGACATCTTAGCTGAATGGCTTTTTTTCTTTTAAAAAGTTTGAAAGATTTATTTCGCTGATTTGTTCTGTCAACCACCATCATAACCATCATCATCATCATCACCATCATCATCAAGAAAGTCGTTTTTATATTGAACATTATTATCAATCAACATCATATTGAAATCGCCGTCTTCATCATCATCGCGTCGTCATCATCACACGTATTTTATTACTAATGAAATGATGCTAAAGAAGAGTCGGTAGTAACTCAAAACTTCGGCGTTAATTAATCCATAACTCATTTCATCACCGTCGTCATCATCATCGTCGTCGCGGTCGTCATCATAATGATGAAGAACGAAATGGCGTTAATAACGATCTATTGGGTGATTTAGATTCCGATGGTGATTGAGATGATGATGACGATGATTAAGATGATGACGATGATTAAGATGACGACGATGACGATGACGATATTGCAAAGACATCATTTCTACCTGTATTACCGCCTTCGGTTGAACACCTACATACATACATACACACACACTTCCTCTCCCATATAACATATCTCACTTATTCTACATACTCACTCCCTAAAGTGTACTTACAGATGAGTGTACTTTACATCGGAGTTTACTTTTAGTATTTTGACAAATAGTTTTGCTAGTTGAGTTTAATATGGGTACATAAGTCGATTTTATAATTGGACAATTGTTTTGTGCTATTTTAAAAAGTACTGGAGTACTTATTTATTAAGTACTCGAGCACTTATAAATTGACTCAATATCTGAATGTATTTTTAGTACTCTTTACTCTTTGTGCTTCTTTAATATGTACTCGAGTTTTAAAGACGTGGATCGCTTGCATTCGAACGTGGTCACGGCGTGTGTATGTTTATTTGTGTGTGGATGTGCGTGTGTGTATGTGTATGAATGTGTGTGTATGTGCGTGTGTGTGTGCGTGTGTCAAGCGTTTTTTCTTTGAAGAAACAGATAAAAAGGAGAAAAGCACTCCTTGTAACTTTATTAAAATATCTCGCATCAATGGTTGCTAAGATATCTCGTGTGTGCGTGCGTGTACGTGTACGCGCGCTTGTGTGTGTCTATGTTTGTATGCTGATAGAATTTTATTTTCTATAAATTTTTTTCTTCAACTTCAATTGGAGCCAGCTTTTTTTCATCATCGTGAAAGTTTTCACTTCCTGTGTTATAAATAGAGATTTGAAATTACAATTTCTCTGGAAAATAAATTTTTTTCGAAAATATTTTTTAGTTAGTCCCACACGCACACACACACTTACACACACACATATACTCACTCACACACACACACACACACACGAAATATGTTTGTCTATATACAAAAACATATAAACATAAACACACAGTAAACATCATATTGAGTTCTCTAACTCTTGTGACCCAACCTTGTCTTGATTTATTAATACAAAATTACTGCTGCTACTACTGCTGCTGCTGCTACTACTACTACTACTTTTAATTACTTTCATTTACATAATTATAAATATCATGTCATGGATTTATTTAACATTCTTAAAAAGTCGCTTGCATTAAAAATAATTTTTTTATCCCCCTAAAAAAAGTGCTAAAAAACTTTTAAAAAAAGATAACAAATATGTATGTAACGCGATTTATATTTACAAAAAGTTTGGCGCTTCATTAAAAATGCGCATAATTGTCACATCACTATTTCCGGTACTGACGTGTTATGCCCTTTTTTTAAATAATTGACACAAAGTGATTGACACCCTGTTTTTGAGACTAAGGAAAAAAAAATTATTTATTATTATTATTATTTATTATTATTATTATTGTTGTTGTTGTTGATGTTGTTGTTGATGTTGTTGATGATGTTGTTGATGATGTTGTTGTAGTCGGTGACAAAACCACTCTGAGACTCTTTTTAATACCCCAATTTTGTCAAGTTTGCTCTAAAGCTGTTAGTTGTTTCTGCGCATATTACTTCATCTCCCAGTTTGTTCCACTCGTTGACAACTCTGCAGCTGAAATTATTCTGCCTTATCGATCCCGAGCGTTTTTTAAAGATCTTATATTTCGGCCACCATCTTATACTGTTCATTTTAAGCTCAAAAAAATTTCGCTGATTCCAAATTCTTCTTCATAGTGATGATTTTGCATGCCTGAATTAAATTTCTTCTTCTTCTTCTTCTTTCTAATGTTGCCAATCCACAAACTTTTAATCTGTCTTTGTACGGCATATCGTGACACTCCTTCATCATTATCGTCGCCCTCTTTTGAATATTCTCGAGCATATGTCGGCCCTTTTTAAATCTGGCTTACAAAACTGAACACGGTACTCCAACTTAGGTCGAACCAATGCTTTATATAGGTTCAATATGACGATCATATCTCTGCTTTCTACAGTTCTCTTCATCATACCAGGAGTCCTGCTTGCACTCTTAGCTGCCTCGATGCATTGACACCCTACCTTAACACCATTCCGATGAATTCTCACCCATAGATCTTTTTCCTCCGTTTTCAGTGGTGTGTCTCCAAGTTTGAATACATTTACGTTGTTGTTCGCTCCTATATGTATGACTGCACATTCATTAGTGTTGAATACCATCTGCCAATCCTCTGCCCATTTGCATATTTCTTGCATATCGCCTGCTTGAATCTCAACATCTTCATCGTTGTCTACAACAGCACATAATTTAGTGTCATCTGCAAATTTTGAAGTTTTAGACTTTATTCCTAGATCAATATCATTGATGTATATTACACTTAGCTACGGTCTTAATACGGATTCTTGAGGAAGCCCACAGTTTGAGAAACTTACTCCATTACAAACTTTTTGCCGTCTATCTTGTAACCAGTCAGAAATCCACTCAAGTGTGTTTCCTGTGATTCCACTTGCATCTTATGTTAAGGCCAAACGTTTATGCGGTACCTTAGCAAAAGCCTTAGCAAAATCCAAGTACACAGTATCCATTGCTTACTTTTCGTCCAAATTTTCATAAAATTTCAAACAAATATCAAAAATTATTTTTGAATAAATAAATTGAAAGATAATGAGAATAATATAAATTGAAAACCGTCTGCTGATGAAGTCTTAAACTTTGAAAATGAATGAATTAATTAATAAATAAAGTAATTAATTAATGTATGAATGAATGAATAAATGAATGAATAAATGAATGAATGAATGAATTAATGAATATTGGCAAGACACAAAAATTTTTAAAAATTTTACTTTGGACAGCATTGTAATATTTATATCATATGAAATTTTTTTGCTAAATTAAATTTCGTTTCGTTTCTTTTTCAATGAATAAATGAAAAAAAGAAGGCACGAGCCAACGAATGAATAAATAAAGGAATGAAAAAATGAATGAATAGACGAATGAGCGGGTAATCCGGCGAATTAATCTCAAATTTAATTTCGTATTTTACCTTCCATTTAAACGTTTAAATGAACGATATTTGAAAAAGTTCAAAAGAATTTACCTAGTTACGTATACGCACACGTACACCCCCCCACCCACCCCCCTCGCCCCCACACACACACGCACACACACACGCGCGCGCGCGCGCCAACACACAACACACACAAAATTGCATACCTACTAATTGATTTCCATTTTTCACGATGATGTTGAGTAATCCGCGAATGCGAAACATGGCTCTCACATTGCCCGTCTGTCTTTCGCTGCAGAATAATATTTCATAATTGTTGTAATTAACAAATAAATATATAAACATACATACACACACACACATAAATACACACACAGGTATACATACATACATACATACATACATACATACATACATACATACATACATACATACATACATACATACATACATACATACATACATACATACATACATACATACATACATACATACATACATACATACATACATACATACATACATACATACATACATACATACATACATACAAAAAAACAAACCAATTACTTTGAAAGATAAATTTCATTAATCCGTTTTCAATGGAATTCAAATAATTGATAGGTTGACGATCGCCACATTTTTTACCACCACAACTACAACAATACTACTACTAATAATAATAATAATAACAATAATTATAACAATGATAAAAAAATATAAAAAATTATAACAATGACATAATAATAATAACAACAGTAATAAAATCAAGAAAAACATTGGTATCTAGATTCTCGTCACGTCACATTTGTCACACTATTGTTTCTGTAGCTGCTATTATTATTATTATTATTGTTATTATTATTATTATTATTTCTGTTACCTATTATTATTTTACACATACACGTACACGCGCACACGCACACGCACACGCACGCACACGCACGCACACACATACCTAACTCTATCCCCCAGGTACATTTCAGTGAGTTTTCCACAGAGAGGGGCCATCTGGTGTACCAAAAAACGCTCGAAGGTTTCAATCTTCCTAGTCATAGCCACAACTCTAGTCACAACATTTCTAAACCTGGCCACTCTGACCATCAAAGTTCAATTCCCTAGTAACTGTACCCTACTCTACCTGAATGGCAGTCTAGTTCCGACCAATGATAACATAGTATCGGATACTGACGCTAACGATTTGATATGTATCATTTTACCCGACGATAATAGCAACGATGACGATAGTGGTGGTGATAGTGTTGGTGGTGGTGGTGGTGGTGGTGGTGTGAGTTTGGGGATTCGCGACAATATTGCGATTGGTTGCGAGATTCTGTGCGACTGGAATGCCACTGATTCGTGTCAATGTTCTGAATCGCTGGGTAATTTAACTTTGGCGTCTCATTCCATGATGACATCATCATCATCGTCATCATCATTGAGTTTGCATTCTCTATCATCATCATCATCATCTTCATCTTCTTCTTCTACCTCGCCATCTCAAACTCGAGAAAAGATGATAAGTATCATTATAGATGATTCAAATTTTGATGAATTGACCAGCCCACAGCTCTCAACATTGCTACATCCTAGATCCGGCTCGCCTGAAGCTACTACTACTACTGCTACTACAACTACTACTACTGCTACAACTACTGCTACTGTGACTTCGGCAAGTAAAACCATCATTTCATCATCATCGCCACCACTATCATCGACTTTATCATCATCATCGTCGTCGTCGTCATTATCACCATCATCATGGGCGGTTTTATGTCCCTTGTTAATGAATTCATCGTCGTCTTCATCTTCATCATCATCATCTTTTTCATCATCTTCTTCATCATCATCTTCATCATCATCATCTCCTTCATCATCATCTCCTTCACCATCATCCTTTTCATCATCATCTCTTTCATCATCATCTCCTTCATCATCATCTTCACCGTATGGAGAATTGAAAATGCTAGAAGAATATGCAGAATCGGAAACCGCACTGAAGAGTAAATTGATATACATCGT